AAAATGAATGTCGATATGATCATGCTCTTCAGGTTGTGAATTTATTTCTGCGTATGTCTGTGCTGTCTGTTCTGCCGCCAATGCGCCTTTATACTCCTCTGGAGTATACGTCCAGTCAGGATGGTAATGTTGGTCTGGTTCGTACTGTTGGTACCACTGGTCTTGTGTGGTATCCTGGTTTCCACTTGCTTCTATGTGATAGTCCCTTTGTTGTTTGAGAGGAACTTGTTGTGAGAAATTTGAGGGTCTTTTCATATTATTATTATTAATTGAGGGTCTATTCGTATTATTATTATTTGGGTGTCTATTCATATAGTTTACTGCCCGCGAGTGTAAGGATTTGTCGACGTCCATTGGCTTTGGACGAGGTTGTTGTGGTCTAGCTGGAGGTTGGTTGAATGGTCTGTAATGTTGGGGATTGCGGTAATTGTTCAATGGAACTTGAGGGCGATACTGGTTCGCAAAGTTTATTGAAGGCCTCGGCATATATGCCAATTGGGGATAAAATTCATTGCTTGATTTTTTCGGTGGGAGCGGTGGTCGGAACTCGTGAGGCTTCCTATTTGGACTGCTAGTCTTTAGGGCGTAATTAGAACGGGAGTTTTGGTTCTCCAATTTCAGGCACAAATCAAGGGCTTGAGGGAGATCTACTGGCTCTCTCATGCCAAGAAGTCTTGGCAAGTCCCCTTTTAATCCTCTTATAAAGGTATCAAGAGCCTTGTTCATATATGTGCGTGTCAGTAGATGCATCGATTCTGTACCGACTTCCATGCATCCAAGTTTATTTAAAATAAGCGAAAGATAGGAATATACGCGCTGATAGAATTTCTGAATAGTTAGGTTGCCCTGCACTAGAGAGGTCATTTGGTACTCAAGGGTACCTAAATCTCGCTTATCAGTGTGGAGGGTAAGGCATCTTGAAATAGCCTTCCAGTCCAATGGGGTGTTGTAAGATTCGAGGGCAATGTCGGCGTTGCCCACGACCTTGTTCCTAATGACATTTAGGATGCCATAATATTTAGGTGTACCTTTCATTGGCTCGTAGATCTGGAGAATCTTTCCACGAGTTGTACTCTCCTGGATTGCCTGAGAATTCGCGTAGGTACCTTACTACATCCGGTATTTTGTCTAATTCCGCTATGTTGTTGGAATGTGTCACGTCAGTTATGTTCGCGAAATTAGCGTTTGGGTTGAGGGCCGCTTGGACTATATTTCGTCCTTCTTGTCTCAGTATGTTAGTTACTAGTCCTGTCACTATATTGGTTAGTTGGTCCATATTGAAAGGGATAGCAGGATTTGGTGGGACAGGTGCGTTAAGGGTGGGTGGGCGTATTAAGTTGTTGGGGTTGGACATTTTGTGGTTGTTTTATTTTATTATATAATATTTTTTATTTATTTTATAATTCTTCTGGAGGGTCCCTTGGGTGGTGAATCGCAGAGAATTTTTTTTTATATAAGCTGGAGGGTCCCCCCGTAGGTGGTGAATCGCAGCTTCAGGTTATATTTACTTTATCGGCTGTACGAGGCGGATTTTATAGTGTTAGTTTATTTTAAAAATAGAAATATTTTAGTTTCTTAAAATTACTATATTTACTACAAAATTAAAAAAAAAATAATTTTTTACTGAAATATTTTTCTTAAAATTATTCACTTGATTTTAAAATTTCACTTTTCTTAAAAAAATTTTTTTGTACAAAATATTTATAATTTTTTTTTTTGTGTTTTTTAAACTTAACCTATTCTTACTATTAAGCACCTCCTGGTGATGGGGTATTGACCCTCTTTGCTGTTGCTGCTACTAAGGTACCGCCGGTCACACTGGATTAGAGGTGGTTATTTGTTAGTCCTTTGCTGTGCGTTTTTCTACAGGCTTTTTGTTTTCGCGACGCGTTGGCTGATTATTTGCCAAAAGACTTGAACGGATACACAAACTTTCACGGTCCCTGTTTGGGCGCCAGTTAAAAATTTATATTTTCATTTAAATTTTTAAAAAAGCTCTGGCGGACTCCTGTCCGCTCATGCTCCACTTTATTTGAATCCAAACTTAAGATTAATTACAATAATTTGCTTAACTTAAAATTACACCTATGATTGGCCACGCTCACGTTGCCCTTCCGTGTGCGCCTTATTTGTTGTTATTGCTAAATCGATGTTCTTGCTGACTGTTATTTATTAGAATTTGTTGATTGTTTGCTGATTGTTGTTTTGCCCAAATAATTATTGAAGTGTCAGCGTCTATGCGGATGCACGTGTAAAAGAGTTTGCCATTGAAAAAGTCACCCTGGTGGAACTTTTGCAAGCCGTGGTGTTAACTTACATGTTAAATATGCAGTGCGCAGTAATTCCCTTTTTTGCATTCCGGCTATTTTCACTCCTTCGCTATCCGCAATAGCTAGCGGTCAGTACACATGCATTATACTATTTGAATGCACAGCATATATACACAAATTTATCTACTATACATATATTCATACATTCCTGTACTCAGAAGTGCTGAGACAGTGTAGTCCCACATACGCCACCCAAACAAATTGGGATAGAGCAAATATTTAAAAAATAAAAAATATATCAAAATAAAAAATAAAAAAATAAAAATTACATTAAATAATTTTAAATTAAATAATATTATAACAAAATAATATTACAAATACACATGAAGTCTCAACAATGGAAAAATTCTGCGAGAAGTGGTGGAGCGACTGTAGAACTCTTCAAACGGCGGTAGCAGTCTGGCATTACAAGGATCATCTGGATAAGCTAACAGATAAGGTGGACACAACTCACAACATAATGCAGCTAAGCGATACAATGGATGAGAAAACTATGTGCTGCTATGTGCGCAGAGGAGTACGAGACATCATTCAACAACGCATTGCTGACAAAAATCCGTTTAAGTGAAGCATTTGAAGAATTTAATAAACCGGAACCCCCCACATTAACAAGCCAAGCGCAACCCACAGCGCAATCTCAACCCCACCCCAATTCGCAACACTACCTTAAAGTACCTGCATGTGACACAAGTCCATTTTATGGAGGTTATGAAGAATGGCCCGCGACCTTTTCACAGCAGTATATAGAACACCCTAGCAGTATATATAGAACACGCTATCGAATGCGCATAAGTTGTTTTACCTGAAGACGAAGACACGAGGAGAAGCAGCACGGGTAATTCAACAGTATTCGGTAAGCGACTTAAATTTCGAGCTTGCATGACAAGCACTCTCATCCCGGCATGCACTTCTAGATTACCTCGAGAATCCCTGTCTCTATGGGAACAGCAAGTTTGTAATAGAAGAGACCTACCCCTCTGGTCTGAAATGAGCAACTTCTTGACAACACGTTTTAAAGTCTTGGAAAAACTCAACCCTAAAAATTCGATATCTTAAATTCCAGACTTCATTCCTAGGCCTACTCACAGGCCGACACATAACTCCACCTTCTTGAATAGGAATAAAATGCACACACTACATACTGAGTAAAGAAGACCAGTATCGTGCAAACTCTGTAATTTAAACCCTTCCATGATGATGTGCTTCAAATTTAGAGAACCTTCCGTCCCCGATCGGAACAAGTTCATAAAAGATCACAATTATTGTAGAAATTGTTTGGCGTGCTCTCACATTGAGAGAGATTGCAAGAGCAATTTAACATGTGTCTACTGTTAAAGAAGGCATCACTCACTCCTCCATTACTCCAATAATAGCCAAACAGCAAACAATCAGAGATTCTCAAGAAAAACTCTCACATCCCAAGTGGCAATTGACGAAGAACGGCCCTGTACCTCTCAACAGGCAGCAAAAGCGTCAAACTCTACTCCAACAGAGGATGATAAAATTCTTTCACACTTCTCCAGCAGTAGAGAAAGAACATTGCTTCCCACAGCAATCATCCCGATTCTCCATAAAGGAGAAATAACTCAAATAAGAGCACTCATAGACCAAGGATCTAAAAAAACCTTCATAACCTCTCGTGTGCAAAAATTACTAGGACTTCCCACCACANGCATCATACTCAAAGGCTTATGTTTGTGTTTTTGTATGATTATACGGGACGGCAAATACTTCCCATTCTATCTGACACATCACGCAGTAATAAAACCCGTTAGCGAAACCACTAAAGTCCGAGTGGTATTTAACGCGTCTAAGCTCTCTCACTCAGGTCTTTCCCTAAACGATGTACTGCATACAAGCCCCATACTGCAAAATGATCTTATGCTCGTAATAATCAGGTGGCGGTTATATAAGTATGTTTTTAACGGCGATATTGAAAAAATGTATCGCCAGATATATTTCCACAAGGAAGATCAAGACTTCCAACAGATTCTATTTCGCAAATCCCCAAGTAGCCCAGTAGAAGACTACAAATTGAAAACAGTCACGTTTGGTGTGAACTGTGCACCATACCTTGCCATAAGAACACTCCATCAGCTGGATGAAGACTTCCAACCGAAATTCCCACAAGTCGCAAAAATTTTAGTGAACAAAACTTATGTTGACGATATACTCTCTGGCGGACACGACCTGAACTCAACAAAAACATCAATATCTCAAGCAATCGAAGTGCTCAAATCCGCCGGACTCCCGCTCAAGAAAATCACAGATCACTGTTAAATGAAATACCTGGAACCCATCTCCTAGACTCAGACTTTCTGCAATTTCATGATACGAGCACTACAAAAACTCTCGGAATTAGATGGAATGCCTTGACAGATACATTCTCATATTCCATTGACCCCGTTCCTGACACAAACACTGCTACAAAAAGGCAAATATTGTCAGCAGTCGCGAAGCTTTTTGACCCGGCAGGGTGGCTATCGCCTGTAATGATAACTGCCAAAACCCTACTTCAACAGGCCTGGATGGAAGGAGCAGACTGGAACGAAACATTCAAGCCACTCTCGCTTCTCAAATGGAACTCGTTTCGGAATAATCTCGGGGCTATCACCGAAATAAGGATTCCACGTTGGGTAGAATTCTTCCCGGAAGGTGCTATCTAAATACATGGATTTTCTGACGCCTCCGAAAAGGCGTACTGCGCGTGCGTGTATCTACGCGTTCAGCACAACGGGTCGACGACATCCCACTTACTCGCTGCTAAAAGCAAAGTTGCTCCCCTTAAAATGGTTTCACTCCCTTGACTGGAACTCTGTGGGGCAGTACTTCTCACAAAGTTAGTAAAGCAGATCCAAACTCAACTCGATCTGCCGAGCTAACTTTATGGAGTGATTTCTCCATCGTACTAGCTTGGTTGGAAAAACCTCCATGGACATGGAAAGCATATGTGTCCAATAGAATCTCTGAGATTTTACAAGAAGTAAATAACGCTATTTGGCGACACGTCCCCATCTCCCACAATCCAGCTGATTTAGGTACGCGTGGTATCAAATTCCAGGAGCTTGTCAACTCCCCTCTATGGTGGTTTGGTCCAGAATGGTTAACCAAACCATCAGAATTCTGGCCAAAAACTGCCGCCACGCACTCCTCTCCACCAGAACAGCTACAAGCAGATGCACATCACGCAGCCGAAAACGCCGATCTGTTGGAACGCTTCTCATCCTATCCAAGGGCACTCAGAGTAGTAGGTTACATTCTGCGATTCGTAAACAAGGCAAAAGGGTTGCCTGCTTCTCCCTCACGCTGTATGAGCCAAGATGAAATGAACCAAGCAAAAACGTTTCTCATGTGGAACACTCAGCATCAACACTACGGTAATACGATCTCCACTCTCTCAGCATCCAAGCCAATCAATAAGAAGGACCCGCTCTTAACGCTCACCCCATTCTTAGACAAAGCAGGGGTGTTACGCGTGAATCGACGTCTCAGTTACGCTGCCCTTAGCTATAATGAGCGCCATCCCATCATCATCCCGAGCGACTCAAGACTCTGTACTCTAATTCTCGCCTTCCTACACTCGACGTTACTTCATGTCGAAAAGCAATTGATGATTCGCATGAAGCAGAAAATAAAAACCTGCATTTTTCATTGTAAACCTTGCACCCTATATAAACAAAAGACGAAGACACAAATGATGGTAGCACTACCCCCCGAGCACACAACCTACCCACTTCCATTTCAAACCACAGGCGTTGACTTCGCTGGACCCTTTCTGGTAAAAACGTCAACTCTCCGAACAGCATCATACTCAAAGGCTTATGCTTGTGTTTTTGTATGTTTTATCACAAAGGCCATACACCCTGAACTCTGCTCAGATTTAAGTACCGAAGCGTTCAAAGCCGCATTTGCTCGTTTCCTCGGCAGACGCGGCATACTATGCAAAATCATGTCAGACAATGGACGAACATTTATTGGAGTAAAGATTAGTCTCAATAAGGATCTCATCGCATTTCTCGTAGAGATATCAGCAGGAAATATACCGTCCATGGCCTCACCTGGCAAATTTATTCCACCATATGCACCCCACATGGGAGGACTCTGGGAAGCAACAGTGAAGAGTTTCAAAATCCACTTCACGAAAATCGCGAACAATCATAAGTTCACATTCGGAAATTCAATACTCTTCTCGTGCGTATTGAAGCGGTCTTAAACTCCAGGCCGATCTCCCCAATGTCGCAAAACCCAGATGATCTGAACGCTCTAACATCAGGTCATTTCCTCCGCGGAGCCCCCATACACTCAATCCCAGAACCAAGCTCAGAAAACATGTCACTGATAAACAAATGGAAAAACCGGAAATTTCTACAGCACCAATTCAGCAAACGATGGAAGACAGAATATTTACAAGAAGTACACAAACGATATAAATGGAAAGGACAGGAATCCAATCTCCGTGAAGGAGATCTCGTCATTATTAAAGATGAACTTTTACCTCCGAACGAATGGAAGTTAGGTTGAATTGTGGATCTCCATCTCGCCCTCGATCAAAATGTCCGTGTGGTCGACATTCACACTCAAAGCGGTGTAGCCACTCGTAACATAACTAAACTCTGCGTACTACCACCAGCGTAGCGCATTTCCCTCGAAACATATACTCTCCCCTCTCTCAAATTTATATGAGTCCCTCTACACAAACATCTCAAACTTATAACGTTTTTCGACCATTTACAATAATTACAGAATACTCGACATCCGCAAGTGTCGCTTATACTGCCGCCCGCATTCCCTACGATACTGTCGTGTTTTCCTGGCGATGACGCCCGACGAGAGGTACGAGTCCGCGAAAGCACATCGCTATTGCATAAATTGTCTAGTGACTTCACACACCACCGGAGCATGCGACTCCCCAGATAGTTGTCGTCGATGCGGACTAGCACATCACACGCTTCTTCACCGACCCTCGCGCGAGCTCGCAGAGCGCGCACCGCATCACAGCCGGAGGCAAGTCAGCAACAGCTCGAAGACTTGGTCCAGGTCACGTCGCCGCCGGCCCGCCGGCATGTTGAAGACATAAGTGTCGATCTCATAGAGTTCGAAAAGAAAAATTGAAATTAAATAAAAATATATATATTGTATGTAAGAAATTTTATACTCACCTTGAATTGTTTACCCTAATCTGAAATACTCACCTTTTATCCACTGGAATACGTACCTTAATTTCCAATTCCTGTAAAGCAAAGAAAATTGAAGGAAAACCGGTAAACGAAATTTCCCCTCCTTTCCCGTTAATGTAAAACTAAGCTAAGTACTTTGTTATAAATAATTAGCTTACAGTACTTTTAAATTCATTCGCTTGCTTTACCCCAATCCAGTACGTTTGTACATTATAGCGTTATTGCGTTATTGGAAATAAAATCAGTGTTAAGATAATGTAAAGGAAACCGTGTAGAGTTAAATCTATATTAATATAAGGCGACTTAAAATATCTAAAATAAATATATAAAGACTTATGTAATTTATAAAAAAAATTTCTACAGAAAGAAGCGCTTGGCTTTAAAGATACCGGTATCGGTAAAATTTTAATTTTTTTCATTAGATCTTTTTTTGCTTCTTATCATAAAATCCCCAAATATTTTATTTAATCATTCCTTAATATTTCTTGTATATCATTCCTTAATTATTATATTAGAGCTTTTGATGCATTTAATCTTTTTTAATTCATTTATACATTAATTTCGATTGGGCCATTTAAAAATTAATCAATAAGTCATTAACATCATACTTTTATATTTATTATCTTTTTATTAACAATCGTAAATTGATATACAGACTTCAATTTCATAAGCCACATGCGTTCTATTTAGTTTAAGCATATTTTGTACTTTTTATAGGCGATGGGAACGGCTGTGTAACGAATTGTCTCCACATATGGCGATGACTTTGAGAAACTGCTTACAAAATAGACCCAAAGCTCTAAAAGAGTATAGGTATGATAGGTAATTAAAACCACTAGCATTTTCTGTTAAATTTTTGTCACCTAATGCGTTTAGGTACCTGCAACCACTTTTGTTAAAGTTTGGCCCCGTAACCCCGGCTGCAACTCAAGCAGCATTAAAGCTCTGGAGCTAAGAAGCCGTTGCTTCACGCCATAGCAGTATTGTTCATTATGCTGTGAAAAAATGTCTCTAAAAATCAATTTACAATATGAAAGGAATCTGTGTTCCATTTTATAGAATTTGAGGATTACGGTGATGAAAATCGTACCTCAAGAGTAGCTTCAAGTGTTTTAACACTTCTTGTTCAAGGAATTGGTGGGATTGCTTGGACACACCCTCTTTGGTAATAAATCATGTAAAGGAGAAGTAATGAATAGATATATAATTGAAGCCATAGAGCAGCTCCAGGGCATTTATCTTCATCTTTGTCATGTTGTTAGTGACCAAGGGTAAAATTTTGTAAACTTTTCTAGGGTAGTAGGAGTTATTGTACCATTGATAGGCCCTTTTTCGAAGTTAACGAGAAAAAAATTAGTTTTTTCTTCGATCTTCCTCATCTTCTCAAGAGTACAAGAAACTGCTTAGAAAATAAGAGGAATACAATTCTGTTTAACCGACGTCCTGTAGATTGGTCAGACATCGGCCATATATATAAACAATGCTATATTAACTCCATTTGTGTACGCATAAGCTGAGTGCGTCACACATTAGGCCCACAAGCTTAGAAAAAATGAGCGTACCTTTAGCTTCACAGGTATTCAACAATTCCGTAGCAAGTGGGCGCTCTTTATTGCTCCGGGCGCCTGCGTAGTTCGTTGTCTCCATCTTTTTTAAATACAGTTGAGATTGCCCTTTTTTTGATTAATTGTTCAATATATTCAACAGCCTTGTAATTGTAGCAGTTGGGAATTTTAAATAACTTTTTCAAGCAACTGTGGATCAAATAGAGTTCCTTAAGGAAGCTGAACAGTGTCTAAATTCAATGAAAGTATATGACCAGTACAAATACAATACTTTCAGTTTCATGGATGGGTGGATACCGAATATTAACAGCTTGAGGCGTTTGTGGCATTTCTGGTCAGTTATTGGGTTTTCACTAGAAAACTGTGCCAAGCAAACCAAAACTTTTTTGGTCATATCCGTAGAAGGAGGGGGATTTGGTGCAAGAATAACTCCGCAGCGTTTCTCGTTTCTTTCCAGACAGACAGGCCTGGGCGTAGGTTATATTTTATTATTTTATTTTTTGCCTGATTTAGAATAAATTTCTAATAGCGCTTTATTCAGGGCATGTAGTGACGCTTTAACTAGAAACAATTCTTGGCAAACATTTCAAGGTTTGCCTAGGCCATCATTTGAGTCCATTCAAATAGACATAAACGTGGATGTAGATGAAAGCAGTTTCCTACGTCGAAGCGCTTTTGTCTATTTTAGTGTCTATATATATTATAAATATTTCAAAATACATAGCTGTTTAAAGCCGCTTCCTATTTTTGATTGTGAAATTACTGATATTGATTCCTTATTTACGCAGGAGAGACAGTTCAGTAATTGCCATTTTGTTAAACCTCCATCCGACCCTGTCGACTTTTTAGCTAGGTTGGAAGAGGTTTACTCGGAAAATTTTGATTCCTGTTGCCATATGGTTTTTGTCAAATTTTATATGAAAAATTAAATATTTCTGCTGTGAGAAGTGCTACCCGGAAATTTGGAAACAATTATATATTGCAATTTGGACCTAGTTTTTGTTAAATTGCTTCAATAAGAATGTGAAGCAACCAATTTTTAAAAACATTAAGTTTCTCTGCTTAACACACCAGTAATTCTCACACTTAGTATAGGTTCAGGGTCGTCCGTACATTATTGTTGAAGTATTATTAAATTGGGAAGTACATAGTGATATTTTGAATATATAAATTTTTGTTTTGTTGAGTTTTTGTTATTGTATTTTGTATATAATATTTTTTGATATTTTTATTTGTACCTGAACTTTATATTTGTTTTTGTTCCTGAGTTTTATATTTTTATTTGTACCTGAACTTTATATTATTTTAAGCAACAGTAGTTTTGTTTAGTTAACTATTGTAAATATTTATATGGGTGAGAATAGGCCTACTGGGGAAGCGAAAACCAAAAAAAATCACTAACGCGCGTTCATTGTAACCTCTATGGTGGTTTGGAAAAACAATCACATTTAAAATACAATATAATGTTGCTAAATGAATACATATACCATATATAGTAGATTATACTGTAAACCTGCGTATGTTATGTAAAATGTTCAATAAAACATTTTTAATTAGTGATAAAATCTGTCTGGTATTTTTTATTTGCTTGCTGAAAGTATGTTTGGATGAAGCACACGATCAACTTGTAGTGGAAGTAGCAAATTTACAAGCTAGACGACGTCGTTTAATAGATAGCAACGAAAATTCTATAGTAAACTATTCGTTAATGACGGAGAAGCAGTGAATTAGACCGAAAACAAACATCTTCCAGTGTACAGACAATGAAACAGACTGATCGCAACACAAAGTAAACAAGATAATCCGAAAAATTAAAGACTTCATAAAATGTCATGTTTGCTACACTTTACAAATATACGTGTATATGTATGTTTCTTACGTGTTTTAATTATTACTTTTGCCACAAATAAAATTGTATACAATTATGCTATACATGGTCAAATATGTATTCACAGCATATTGGACATATTGTATGTTATTTTCTCATCATACATTCCTTATATTAAAGTTCTTTAATTCTGTAATATTCACACTAGATTCTCACATAAAATCTCTAAAAAGGCACGCATTTTTGCTGATGCCAAACCTAAAATAATAATAATAATTTATTTTGGTTCCATTTAATTTGGGTATCTAAGTAGCTAATTCAATTCACAATTACGGGAACGGGATAAGCAAGATGTAAATTGCATTTCCAGCTATGGCGTGGAACCAAAGACGCCGCTGTAAGTAGTGTTCTTTGCATGCTTAATTTATTGACGATTGTGGTGCATATATGTTCTCAAACGCCGAAGAACAGTTCCATTACCTATAAGTTGCTAAGTTTATTAGAATAATAAACGTTTTAAAATACGAAAATATTGTATTTACCATGGTTTGCCAAACAAGCAATCTGTTTATTGAAATGTAAACAAAAGGAAATGCTATAACCCAACATTAAGTATGGTTGCATTTTGAAGGTTTTTTGCAAT